ATATAATTTAGGATCGAATAGTACCAAAAAGAACCGAATAACCCAAATAAAAGAAATAACATTTACAATAATCAAAGGAAGTCAAATTATTTAAATTCAAATATGGATCGAATGATCTAATCATAACTTTGCAAATATTGAAATTTGTGCCTACAAGAGACAAAACATCTTGAACATATATGTAAGATCTATTACAATAAAGTAAATGTTAATTTAAAAAAAAAATAGATTTAATATCACTTGTTTAAGAGCATGTGTCTCATTGAATATACAACCAAAAAATGCATGTCAACTATGTAAACAATAGTTTAGATTGTTGACTACAAGCGGAGAAAAAATCGAACAAATCGGACAAATAACGAAGACACTATGATAGTTTAAAATTGCCATAAGATTATGCAAACATGTTGAAACAGAAAACTCATCTTTAATACCTCGTGTTTAGGGGACTATATATCATTGAATATACAACCAAAAAATGAATGTAAACTATGTAATCAGTAATTTAAATTGTAAACTACAAGCTGAAAAAAAAATGGAAAAATCGAACAAATAACAAGAATCTATGACAATTTGAAGTTGACCTAAAAATTATGGCTTTTCAATTTCCGGTTCGGTCCTTTAGGCCCGATTAAGATGTTATTCAAGTAACTAGAACGGAGTAACCCGAAAACCGAATAAGCATAAAATACATACCCGAGAACGGAGTAACCCGAAAACCGAATAAGCATAAAATACATACCCGAGAACCGGCCGGATAGCTTATTTTATCCTAATTCAATTTGGTTTGCTTTGGGTTTTCAGTGCAAACGCCCATGATCTAAAGTATTGATAATTTTCTCGGAATCCGAAATAAAGATAAATAAAAAAGAGGAAGGCTACTAAAACCGTGTTGACAATGATAAGCAAAATATTATACATAAAATATATAGAAAAGGGTAAAAAATAACTAATATAATTACATAATCCTTTTCCTTTGGCATGCCAAGATAGGGAAATCTTCAGAAAAGTCCCAATATTTACGGAAAAGTTACACTTTAGTCCCAAGATTTTTTTTTTGAACGAAAAAGTCCTGAAAACCGGCAAAAATTTGCAGTTTGACCCTTTTTGACCGGTTGAAACCGGTACCAAACTAATTTGGGACTATTTCGTAAACTAATCCAAAATATTGGGATTTTTCAGTAAACAAAAAATATTAGGACTTTTCTGTAAACAAAAATATTAGGACTTTTCTATAAACAAAACCTTAATTATTATTATTGTTATTATTATTATTATTATTATTATTATTATTATTATTATTATTATTATTAAAAATATAAATAAGAATACTATTTTTTGAACTTGTTATTTTTAATATTATTACTAATACATATAAATGCATTAAATGAAAAAAATATTATTAATAACATTGTTTAAGGGTGGAGGTGGAGGAGATGGTGGTGTTTTTAGTATTGAAATCGTGAATGTCTACTTGTATATTTTTACTTTGTATATGGTCATTTCATATTTGTTATTATTGTTTTCAATTCAGAATATTAATATTTAACAATTTGAAAGAAGTTGCATATTAATAGTTTAAGGTAGTAGAGTTTCTCATTTTGTATATAAAATTGTTTAAGGTTGAAGAATTACTTTCCAAATCCAACAAATCCACTACAAACATCTACATAAGTAACCTATATTAAAATTCGAAAGTATTAATTACAATATTTTGTTTAACAAAAAGTAATAGGAATAATTCAAAAGTATTATTCAAAATTCAAAAGTATTAATCCAAAAAACATGTCCTATTACTTTTTATTGAACAAGATATTGTAATTAATATTTTTGAATTTTGATATGGGCTACCTATGTAGATATTTGTAGTGGATCTGTTGGATTTGGAAAATAATCCTTCTACTGTAAACATTTTTATATACAAAGTGAGAAATCCTTCTAACTTAAACTATTTATAAAGAATTTTACAAATATGCAACTTCTTTTAAATTGTTAAGTATTATTATTTTTAATTGAAAACAATAACAACAAATGTGAAATGGCCATATAAAAAGTAAAAATATACAAGCAAACATGCATGATTTCAATGCTAAAGGCAGCAACATCTCCTCCACCTCCACCCTTAAACAATGTCATTAATATTATTTTTTCATTTAAATACATTTATATGTATTAGTAACAATATTAATAATAACAAGTTCAAAAAAAAGTATTCTTATTTATATTTTTAATAATAATAATAATAATAATAATAATAATAATAATAATGATGATGATGATGATGATGATGATGATGATGATGATGATGATGATGATGATGATAATAATAATAATAATAATAATAATTATAATAATAACAATAATAATAATTAAGGTTTTGTTTATAGAAAGGTCCTAATATTTTTGTTTACAGAAAAGTCCTAATATTTTTTGTTTACTGAAAAATCCCAATATTTTGGATTAGTTTACAAAATAGTCCCAAATTAGTTTGGTACCGGTTTCAACCGGTCAAAAAGGGTCAAACTGCAAATTTTTGCCGGTTTTCAGGACTTTTTCGTTAAAAAAAAAAATCTTGGGACTAAAGTGTAACTTTTCCGTAAATATTGGGACTTTTCTGAAGATTTCCCTGCCAAGATATCCATAATTAGTAGCAGTGTAGCACGGCATGTTTTTAAGATTATTGTATTTCACTTTTTCTTATAACGGATTGTGCTTTACATGTGTTTGTAGTTTTTTAACACTTTTCTTAAGTAAGAGAAAACGTAATATTAATAATTTAATATTGACTCTCTTCATTAACACGGTAACACCATACTTTATAACCCCGTATTTTGTAATAATCAAGACTCGTAAGTCCATCAGCTTATATACTTCTTCTAGAGATTCATACTACAGTATTTAGTATTTATACAGTAAAATATAAATTATCAATTATTTTTATTTTTTTTACCTTTCTCTCTTTAAAAAAACTAGCAAAATGATGTACGTCTACGTTTTTTCACGTCTCATGAGATCCCTAACGAGTCGAATGGCTACTTTTTAAAACGAACAACTCTTTTATCATCTTGTTAATTATTCGATATCAATTACGAGTCGACAAGAACCATAAAAGTGAAAGGGTGATTTATTTCCCTCTTTAACCTCCACCTCATATAAATGTACCATGTGATCTAATAGAAAACAGACAAGTGTTGTGTAGGTGATGTCTTTTCAAAGAAAAATCTTGAATTCCTTTGAGAGAATCCTAATACAGTTGTACGTTATGGTTAAAAGAACTAGATAAGCATATAAGGTTGTGCGTTTTCTTATACGTTGGAAGTCTAGATACAAAAACATTAAAACAAGGAATATTCACAAAAATACAAAAAATACGATGGATATTTATAAAATATAGGTATATTAGCTGTAAGATCATGTATTATATAAATTAATTTTTAAAAAAAAATACTAAATACAAATGTCAAAATATTTAAGAATTTTAAATTTCTAAGAAAATAAGAAAAATAATGAATTATTATAATGAAAATGTTTTTTTATCTGTTAAATTTAAATAAATAAAAGAAACTATTGAGCTTTAACTTTGAAAATTTTGAAATTAAAAGGTAAATTTATTAATAAAACTGATATTCATTTATTACTACATTTATTGCAATTATTACATTAAAATATTATATAAAATTTAATAAATAAAAAAACTCTAAAATGATATGTGAAAAAAAATAAAAATAATTACAAAATAACATTTGGCAAAATTGAATGAGAGTTTAACAAGTGGCAAAAAAAATTCATTTATTAGAGAGGATATCAATATTTTTTTTTTGGAGGGGAGGGGGGGGGGGGGGGGGGAATGACTCATTGGGTAACTAACTGTTGCGTTTGTTTTCATTTGGTCTTTTTTTTTTTTGTACTCAATATACCATCGGACTTGTTGTTTGTGTTCACCATAACCCTTTTCACCGACTTTTGACTTGTGATGGTCGGTCAAAGGCTTATAGTGAATAGAAACACCAAGTTCGATGGTATATTGAGTACAAAAAAAAGAAAATGGACCAAATGAGAACAAATGCAACAGTTGGTTACCTCCTGATTCATTTTTCCTTTACTCATTTTACAGCAAATCTCACATCATCTCCTGCTGATATTAATGACTTTAAGAGATTCATTCTTGCTTCTCTTCAAAACATAACCTACGAAAAAACATTTTATTAATATATGTACAACTTTGTAATGCACTTGAATATTTATTAAGGAAATCTTAACTAATCAGATGCATTTCATGACTACATTTACATTTCCAATCAAATGATTTATCGTATCATGAATTCTAGACAAGTCTACAAACAAGTGGAATCACAAGTGCTGTGATTTTTGAGTTACTCAACTTTAAGATCAAATTCATAGGATAAGATACAACATCAACATGTACAATATCATGCAGCTTTTGCAGGCACATCACCATAATATACCTTGAGGTAAACCTTTATGTTGATAAATATACCACTCATACGCAATCATATCCTTTTGCAGAGAGGTCTTGACAGCTAACCATAATAAGCACAGCATAGACCATGTTTTAACGAAGTTATCCCTCTGAAACGCTATTCATATACGTTATGACCAAAAAAGATTGTGGTCTTTGATAGTTTTGCAACTTTAATTTCATTTAACTTTTTAGAGGAAATGACTCATGAGGTGAATTTATTCTCATTTGGTTACTTTTCTTCTTTTTTGTACTCAATATATCATCGAACTTGTTATTTGTGTTCACGATAACCCTTTAACCGGCTATCACAGGTCAAAAGCCGGTCAAAAGGGTTATGATGAACACAAACAAATTCGATGGTATATTGAGTACATAATATTAAAAATAAAAAAATAAAAACAAACGCAACAATTAGTTACCATCTAGAGTTATTTACGCTATTTTGGGGTTGACTGAAATAACCACATAGTATTGGCATTTATTGTAACAATTTGACACGTCAGACAAAATATAATTCATGCCATCGACCTTTTAAAATCAGAAAATCATACTTGTGCTTTATAATTGTTTCTCAGTCTAATGCATACAAAATACCAAACTCGATATATGATGTTGTATAGTTCTATATTGTCGTGTCTCGTCTGCAATAACATAACAACAATACAACATGACCTACAAAGCCAAACTTTGATGATCATTCTTCTCAGATCAAGTAAATCAGTTATTTTTAAAACCACCACCAAGAAGCATGGAGATAGACTCCATTAGAAGAAGAAAAATAAAAGTTAAAAAAAAAAATATACTCAAGTTGTCAAAATCTCCAAGAAAATGATTGTGTAAAAAGTGTTGTTCCTCATTCTACAACAGTAAAAACTAAATAAGGTATACTTGTTGTTTCTCGCCTAAACATCAGGTACAAGAATATATATATATTTTTTCTATTTCTTCTTCTTCAATTTGCTTGCCTTTGACTGAGTGTAGGCAGTTCCCTATGCACAAAAACAAAACATCAATTAATCAATTGAGATAATAATTCATTTCAACCATAACATATATAATTTTAAGTGCTGTTTCTTTTTATAACTCAATGGGCTTAACGAAGAGAAAACATGATCCGGTAATTTTTCACTTAATTCATACTCGATAGAAAAAAGTGTTTTCCGCATTAAGCCATGATTTCTTTCTGTAAAGGTAGCAATGGGCAAAAATGTAATTTCAGTTTAGTAAAAAAGATTTTAGGTGAGAAATAGCAACCTCCAGCCACTCATCCATCGATGCATCAACGCTCCGGGTCCCGGTTTCCACCTTTGGTCCCTTCTTAGTTTTCTGAGTGAAAACAAGAAAGTTGAGTAATCATCTCAAGAATAAACAAAATAAAAGCTAAATGTAAGGAATAGCAACATATTTTCATAAAGAAAGGTACCTTTGAAAGATTTTGTATTTGGCCACGAACCCACAATCCGAGGAAAACAAGAAGAGAAATTCCAAGAGAAACTAAGAACACTGTCTCAATGCTAACAAGTCCACCAGCTTCAATAACTTCAATTGTACCATTATAAAATGTGTTTTCATATGGTATTTGGTCTATCTCATAAACTATTCTTCCCACAAGATCAAATGTTCCCGCCTACAATATAATTATAAAACCAACCGCCACATTATTACCTCTCAAAAGTTGTACTGCGTCTGACGTGCATTGGACCAGGACTGAGACTGATGTAAATGAAACAAAAATTGCAAACTTTTGTCCGACCCAAAAAGATGGGACGGGAACTCATTCTCAATCTCTCGTCTGTGCGCGTTTGTTACACGAAACAGGACAAGCTTTCTAGGGCTATTTTTAATGATGATGACAAGGAGGGCATTTACGTCTTTTGCACAGACGAAAGATTGAGAGCGGGTTCCCATCCCACCTTTTTGAGTTGGACAAAAATTGAAATTTTTGTAGTGAAAGATGTACCTGTAGAAATTTGCTGACAGCAAAAATATAGGGAAATGTAGCTTGAACTGAAGAAGGAACGGATGCATTGTTAAAAACCTGGGGAAATAAATAAATAAATAAATAAAATACGAGTTAGATAAAACCATATAAAAGATAATTGTTTAAGAATATTAAGATAAAGCTTTTTTTTTTTTTTTTATTTAAGATATGATATGAAGATGGAAAAGGTGTTACACCTGTGTAGAAAGATTTTGAACCAACATGTTGTGATCAAATGGAAGATGAACACTCGCATGAACTGCAAGGACCTTTATATGTTGATCCCCTGTTCATCAAGTAACATTAGCAAATGAATATGAAAAAAAAAAAAAAAAATCAAAACTTGAAAAAGGAAGGAAGTACAACGAAAGTGAAAGAATAGTAAAATACCTTCGTTTTTCATTCCAATTAAAACCTCAGTCTCTTGCCCTGCCACTACCACTGTAGATGAAGAAAAGAATAAAATGGTTTAATGATTATCACTACTAGATAATGGTTAGGTGGCTAAATTTACTTACCTTTCGTGGGATTCTTTGGGAAAACACATACAGTTTCCACACCTGGAGCTGGACTATAATTGCCAATACCAAAGTCCTGGACATCGTCATCAACAATCCCAAGATCTCCTCCTTCTTCAACAGTTTCAGCAACAAGCTCAGCGTCTTCTGAATCTGAGTCAGATTGACACCTCGCAACTATGGAAAACCACCATCCATTAGAACAATCTCAAATTCATACATAATCATGATTATAACAACAGATAAAGTCGATTGGGAGAAAATCATGATCAAAAAACTTCAAATGGCACTTTGGAAGTTTGGATCAACAAACATGCCGACTACCAGGTTAAAAGGCTGATGGGTTTGTAAATTACATGAAATCAATTCAATTTCAGACATGTTCCCGATTCTCCAACTAATACACGGATTAGGTGTGATATGTTTTTCAAAATTATGAATTAGGCTTGAAATAAACGTGAGTTCTAGAATTGGCACATGTAGTCAACATTCAACAACCAACTAAACCTAAAAATTGATAAAAAAAAATATATCCAGACGCTAGAAATCCGTGAATTTCAAGTGATGTATATAGCATAACCTGCGTTTACAACCTCACAAATTCGAGTGAGGTATTCAGTTACAGTTGAATTTACTGCAAACTTAAAAAAACTAACATATAGGAAAACACAGAACTTGCAAGAATGATTAACAAGATAGGAAGCTACTACAAATGAATCTGATTGAACGGAACAAATTCGATCTTGATCGGGAAATAGAGAGCATAGAATAAGAAACTGAAACTGAAAAAAAGAACCTAAATCAAGATCAGATATGAAAGAAAACCTTGAAGGAAGAAAGAGGAGGAGAGAAGAAGGAGCGCGAGAACGAAGGAAACCCTAATCTTCATCATTTCTGAAACAGGAAGCGAGTACCAACAGCGATAATATTGAGTGGTTGATGGGGGTTAAGAAGACGACCAAATGGTTTTTAGGTTTGTTTGTGCGATTTTTCTTTGTTTTTAATTTTAGTTGTGTCGTTATATCCTCGTATGTTATTTCATTTTTATTAATCTGGCCAGTTCTATGAATCGGTCAATGTTAACTTAAGTTGACCACATAACTATTGAACACAAAAACTTAGGACTCTACCATGTTAACTTTCTGCCCAAACGTATACTACCACAGTAGCACTTTTTAACATTAAGGGATATTGTACAATGAATACATGTGTGAGTGAGAGAATTAAACACTTGTTTCTTATTACAACCAAAGACTATCCGGTATGGTGAAGAAAACAACTTCGTTCAAAGGCCACATCGGCATAATTTTTGTCTTGTCTCCATCATTTCTAGTGGGGATAGTGTTCTTCATGAAAAACGCGTTAAGAAAGAAGAAAAGCAAAGGGAAAAAAAAAAGGAAGAGATAAAAAATACGGTGTTTAGGGGTGTTATAATGGCAACAAGAAATAAAGGAGGGGTGGTGTTCCCGACGTTATACCGATGTGTAGGCACCATGTAGTCTCCTCCATGGCGTTTCCGTCTCATACACCATAGTTTAAGGAACACCAAAAACTCCTAAGAAAGGTGTGGAGCTCAAAGCGGTAGGATGTCACTTCGTAGGGACCGAAGGTCATGCAACATATGTCTTCGCATGACCTTCAGTTGTAAATAAGGAACCTCTCATACAAGACATTTGATGACATACCACACACGCTAGCGTAACACTCCAAAAATCACAAAATTTTAAATTTAAAAAACAAACCACTATCCATAACTGTTTACAAGAAAAGTCATTGTTTCAAAAGTAAATTCATATCAAAGTGTTCCAAAATCCAATATCATAAAAATAGGAAGATGTGCACGATCAAGCTTTCACTTTTCCACAATCATCCGAAGTACCTAAAACAATAAACTGAAATTATAAGTCAAAACTTAGTGAGTTCCCTTAAGCACCAACTCACAACATAACAATATGAACCTTTAGCTTGACTGAACCGCCTCACAGGGCCTACAACCTATCTGGACTGTTCTACAAGCATTCGACATGACTGGACCGCCTCGTAGGGCCACACCTATCCGGACCGCCCCATGTATCTTGGCCTTTTGTACAAAGCAGGACTGTCTCAACCCAACCACAGTATGTCGACATATGTAACAAATAAACATAAACACAAAACCAACTGATACAAATAAACATACAAATCTACTAATCAGTCATATACTATCATAACATCATCATATAACCATGATACGTAACCTAGTGGGCCGATATTATTGCCTTCGACCCACAAGTATAGTGAGTAAAACTCATTTATCAGTCTTAAGAAATAGCTACACAGATCACTGCTCCACATGTTGACTCTACCAGCCACCTATACAATCACAATCAATTAAGTTCAACTACTAATGAAAATACCTAAAACACCCCTAAGTCAAACTTGGGTCAAAGTCATCCTACAGTTGACCGACAAGTCGTGGCCATCCATGGCCACACCATGGTTGCAATACGACAAAACAGGTATGCTCAACCCAACCACTACGTTGTGGTGAGGCTCCACCAGACTGTGGGGATCAGTCAGCAAGACTTAATTCCTTAAGATGGTTTTCCAACCCATTCTAGGAGTTCCCAAGCTCCAACTAGGTCCAAACCATAACCTATATGGATAAAGTTTCCAAATTTATCCTTTAAACTGTCACACCCCAAAACCAAGAACGGCGGAAACGTTCTGGGGCGGAGGACGTCATGTAAAGTATCACAACACAGTAAATGTAAATAAGCAAACAACATCATCCATTGCATTAAATATATAATTTTAATACAAGCGTGTTCTGTACAGTATAGACACCAAAAATAATGTATATCAAAATAATAAGATGAGTCTTGGATGCGCTCTATCTTCTCAAAAGCTGGCCTCGGTACCTGTCTACTGTTGACCTGAGAATACAAGTTATTTTGAAAGAGTTTATCAGAATTAAGCTGGTGAGTTCATAAGTATTTTAGTGTCGGTATTTATCATCCAAAAATCTTTGAACATGTATCAAGTATAAATTTGTAAAATGTATGTAAAGGTTTGTAATTGTTTGTAAAAGTTTGAATCTCTCAGAAAAACCTATATTTTCTATTAAAGTAGCCTTCTACCAAGGCTTAACTGTTTTGTATGCTCGTTTGATGTAAAAGTGTGTAATTTCCCAAGTGTAACTATCATTTAACAAAATATAGTTTGTACATTAACGTTTAAGTGAGGTTATCACTAAAATATGTAATGGGTAAATCATTGTAGTACTGTAGTTTTGTATTATAAGAACTACTGCTGTACTAACTACCTTAAACCGGATTTATATTAAGGTATCATGTGATATATTGCACCATACTATCGACTGGTAACAACGACATATGAATGGTCGTAATAACGGAATGACGTTTGGCACCCGCAGACCTGCAGGTCCGGCTGTAGCTAGTAGCAAGGTGTAGGATAGTCAATCCAGTATAGATCTATACGCAAACTCACGCTCTCCCTCCAAGAGAATTCTAGCTACAACTCGGGCCATGACATTTAAGGCATGCTCCGACACAGTGGATCACAATTGTTAATGGGTTCATGTATATGTAATGTTTCTCGTTCTAGTATAGTTGTATATGTTCTGTGTTACCCCGATGGTAACTAGCTATTGATGTACTGATAAGTATGAACATGGAAGTACTTTTATGTCTATACATGTATATATGATATATAACTAATATTGAAACGACCCTCGGATGGTCACCCGAAATCCCACCAGACCACATCCAAATCGAGGAAAACGAAATAGGGCGGATAGCCTTCCTAAGCCCTTTAAACATTACTTATATATCTATACATATATGGGCATGCAATTTATAAGAAGTAAAACAAAGTTTAATAAAAGCATTTGATAAGTAAAAGAGTTTGTAAAACATTTTGAAGTGAAACAGTTTGATAAACAGTTTGAACAGTGATAAAATCATTGGTTTTCTAGTTATTAATCACATGTGATTAATGTAATCACATGTGATTGATGTAATAACTGTAAGTGTTTAACTTGTATCCCCCCCCCATAAAGTATTTAAAACATTTAAAAGCATTTCAAAGGTTGATTAAAGGGGTACGAACTCACTTGTGGTGAGTAGATTGGATTGATGTATCAGGTACCGTGCTAGGTGGCAAACGGAGACTTGTTCACACGCACGAGCCTAGTTATCATATAATGAGCATATATATAACTAATTAGCCAATTAATAACTTAATGAAATAAGTTGGGACACTTAGGAACATGTAAACACTTTGTATAAGTGTTATAGGTCCTAATGGTTGCATCTAAGTTGATATGGGACAATGCAAAAGGGTTTGAAGCTTCAAAAGACCTTGTATAAGAGTTCACCACCTAACAAACCCCACCTTTGGAGTTTACGGCCGTGAACCCATGAGTTTACGGCCGTGAACTCCTCACTTGGTGGTTTTGGGTGTTTTGAAGTGCTATATTGATCCTAGAATAAGCCTAGCTTTGTTGGAATAATCCTTGAAGTAGTTTAAGGCCCTAGAATGCTCCATAGAGGAGTTTACGGCCTAAAGACCATATCCCCTAGAGTTTACGGCCGTAAACTCCTATGGGGTGTTGGTTTTAATTCTTTTAAGTCACTTGCACATGTAGGATAGCTTATATGTTTTTATCTAAGGCTAAAGGGGACATTAGGCACACATTTGTGCCTTTACTTGGAGTTTACGGCCCAAGAGATGTTCCTTGGCCGTAAACTCCCTTTTAGGGATGATTTTGATGTAATTTACTCCCCATTCAAGTTACAAGTATCAAAGGGTAACTGTCTTAAAGCCTTAAGGGTGTTTAGGGCACTCTTAGCACTTGAAAAAGGGGTTTATGGCCCAAGAGCATTTCTTGGCCATAAACTCCTAAAACTTTATGATTTTGAAGTGTTTTGGTGTCCAAATTAGCTACAAGCATTTGAGGGTAAATGCCTTAAGCCTTAGGGGTGATTTAGGGCTCACTTTGGCCCTTGGAAATGGTGTTTACGGTCCAAGAACTCTTGGGCCGTAAACTCCAAAAGCCTTATGATCTTGGATGATTTCTAGCCTCAAAAGATCCTACAATAAGTCCTAAACTAGTTTTCTAACAAGGAATCGGGACTAGGAAGCTTTTAGGCCATGTTTTGGAGTTTACACCCCAAGAACGTTCTTGGGCCGTAAGCTCCCGGATCTTGCATTTTAGGCATGTAAACAATGTTATAAAGCATATAACAAGTATTAAAACACATCTAGGAAAGTAGACTCACGATTTGGGATGAAAACCCGAAGATCCGCGAGAGAGAAAATGGCTTTTCTCTAGTTGGAATTGTGAATAATGAATTAATTAAATTCATAAATCTATTTATAGTCCTGAAATATTTTGACAGAAAATATTTTTATTCCAGAAGTTGGACTATAACATTATGAAACTTGGAATGTTCAAATTTCACAAACCCAGGAGTATCCACTCTCCTGATATCTCCTTAAACGTAAACCCTAATGTACGCAAACTTATACGGAAAAGTCTGAAACTCACTGAAACTGGACTAGATTCTATTGAATAGATAATGTTCGTACAAATGGATATTTCGGGTTGTCACATAAACCTTGCCAACAAGTCAATATCCAAAGCCCTAAGTTCTTAATGGAAGCATAAAGCACATTCCACTCACTAAGCACTTAATCCTTAGAGTCACTTCTCCAAAGTTTCCAGAAGGGTTTCCAACACCTTCTATACCATAAAAATCATAGCTTTAGGTACATGCATGTCCAATGCATGTCCTTTCCATTTTTTAAGACAAAACAAGGGCAAAAAGGGCCAAGATTCCATGCATGGCCTCAAAACTCAAGTCTACTTCAGATCCAAATAGTTGAATGCTCCAAATTACCTGGAGATTCATAAAGTTGCAAGTTGTATGAGATCTCATCTTACAAAACCCACCAAACATGAATAAAAGGGGCCAACCCAAGATCTGACAACCTAGTAAGGAAAATATTGAGTCTTGAACACTCACTCGAGTCTAGAAGAGAAGCTAGAAGATGAATACTGTAACAACCCAAAAATCCAGGGTAAAATTTCCATTTTTTATTATAGTCAAACACAAATATTACTTAATCCAACCATTCAAAAACATTACTTAATTAAAACATTTATCAAAGTTACATCCCAAAATCACATAATGAGGAAAACATGGGTGTGTGCGTTGTGATCAAG